ACACGGCCACTTTCCCAAGAACCCCACCAGCGGCTCCCTCTAATCTCAAGCCAGAGGGAGCTCCGGGGCTGTGGGTGGTGGGCGTCTGATACCAGTAAGAGAGAACGGTTCGATCCTTGAGAGCCCCCTCTGATGCCTGCAGGGTTTTGCAGCAGATCGGATGGAAGGCAGATCAGGGAGGAACTTTGTGAGCATCCCGTCGTTGTTGGAGACCCTGGAGGGCAGTTACAGCCTTTCTTCAGAGGACCAGGAGGAGTCTGCTGTTCTGCGCCTCTAAGCTCGGTTGCTGAGGAATGAACTAGGGAGAGGCGCTAGCAAGCAGGTTTCTCCGGGTTGACATCCCCTTCACAGAAGGGATTTGAAATCTCCCACCGAGCCCACAGCCTGGATCTTTGGGAAAGGAGGCTTAGGAATGTGGCGCCCCATGCATTCCCTAAGAGCCTCTGTTCCCAACCTGCCCACCTCCACTGCTGGATGAGAATTAAAAACACTCCTTGCCCTGGGCCTCCAGGAAATGGGGTGGGGGTGGGGGGCATCTGCCTAAGGATCCACATGCTTTCTCCAGCCCTCAGCCCCTGGCCAGCAGCATCTCTGCTCTAGGTTGGGGAGGTAGCAGACAAAGGATAGGGGCCATGACATAAGGGAGGTCTACAGAGAACTGGGGAAGTCACCCTGCCCCCACCCATACCTGGGTGACACGGGCCTCAGCAAGGATGGCCACAGCACACATGCACAGGCACCAACTTACTGCCCCCCTCCCTCGCCCCAGTGAGAGGAGGGAAAGAATAGGGTCTAGACTGGCCCTTTAAGAGCCACTTAGGGTCAGAAAGCCTGGCCTGCAGAGAGAGGAAGGAGCTGATGTCAGAAGACGGATGGGCAGCAAGATGGGGATTGATGCTAATGGGGGAGTTAAAGCTAAGTACCCAGACACTCAGAGGGCAAAACTGCAGATCTGTCTTCCTTATGCTCACCTCCCCCCAACACCAAGGCTGTAAATCTGCCTCCTCAATCGAGGGAAGGGGGAGTAAGGAAAAAAGACAGGATCTCCTCTCCCTTTTCCTGCCCCCTCCCAATTCTTTTGTTTTCTCCCAATCCATTACCCTTCCCAGTAAAATTTCCAACTTCTAGCATTTCATCAGAAATTAGACAATGATTGCTCCTTGTAGAGGAGTCTGAGAGCAGACCCCAAGTTTTCCCTCATCAGCCCTGGATAGGAATGGGTTGCTGGTACTGAGGTGAAGGCTCACTGGCTCTTCCACCTTGCCCTTGCTTGAAGTTTACTCTAGTGTCTGTCCTTCTTTGAAAGCAGCAAGGTAAAGCAGAAAGCAGGGTGTTGCATTCCAGGGGCACCAAGATTTTGGAGGGGCCTCCAAGCCTCCAAGGGCAGGTAGTGGGAGACGTTCAGTATCCACCCACAGCAGAGACAGTCTGGTTTCTCGGAACCCCCTGCATCATCCTCGCCTCTCCTCCGGCACATCCTGTCTGCTGACTAGACAATCTCAGGCCGACTGTGTTTGCTTCAAAGGCAGCTTTCCTCACTCTGAGTGCCATCTCAGGGAGGAAACCCAGGTTAGGAGCTGGTAGCCCTAACCAGTCCTGCTGCCTCTTCTTCCAGCGGGGCTGTGCCTCCTGTCTTCCAGTACCCCCATTTCCCTTCCTGCTGGTGATCCGACCGGCCTGCCATGTGAGGACCCTCTGTGTATTAGAAAGTAGTCCTCTGTACCACATCTGGCAGCCGCCTCCCTCATCTTTCTAACCAAAGAAACAACTGGAAGCCTGGTTCCTACTCAATATCCGTAGGAGAGTGACCCTGTGACATGAGTCTCATCTGTTTCCCTCTCAAATTTTCCTTTAGAGGCCAAAGACTGCCTCAGGGGCATCTTCTCTGCTTTCAGGGAAGATGAAGAGAGCAAGGCTGAGCAGGAGCCAGGAGAGCCCCGCTTTCCAGCTTCTTGTATCTCAGGGAGGTCAGCCCTTGCCTTCAGCTCTGCTCTCTGGCTGCTTCTCTACACTGGTAATAAATCCTGTCTTTGTCTCCCCTCTGACCCAGGCCCCAGGCAGGCTGAGGGTCAGAGTCTGGGGGAGGGGTTGCTGCAGAGGAGGGGGCCAGACAAGAAGAGGGGGAGGAGAAGACGGACAGGAGCAGCTGGTGGGCAGCCACAGGGCGTGCAGTGAGGGGATGGGGCCTTCTGATTATTCTGTGGATCCTGAACATTCCAGCAGGCTTGTATTCCAAGTGAGAAAGCCAGGGTTCCTGAGAAGATGTGGAAGTACCTTCAGAATGGTCCCTGGAGCATCAGGAATACTGGGACATGGTGAGGTGCCTCAAAGGAAGAGGCGACTAAAAGGATAATATTGTGGACACCATCCTTTTCAGCACCTCAGGCCCCTACATACATGTGTCATGTGCACATGTGCATATACATGATTTATGACCTGTCAGCATACAGCAGCCCAGGAGAGCCAGCCTGCCCCCTCCTGCCCCACCCCCAGCCTTCTCTTGCTGGGTCCCTCCTGTCTCCACCTCTGTTCTTTTTCTCTGCTCTAACCGTGCCTGCGTCCTTTGTATAGGTTTTCACTCACTTCTCTCTGCCTCTGCCTTCACTGCTTCACTTTTCTTCTTCTGCCCTCCCCCACTTCCCTTACTTCCTTGGACTCTCCATGTGTACAGTCTCTGACATACTCATCCTCCTGCCTCAGTTCCACCATGAACCCTGCTGCAACCCAGCAGTGACCTTTGGATATTAGGTTACAAGGATGGATGGGAGGAAAACAGGTTTTACATGGGTCCCTGGTTTAGTGGGATCCTGGTAGGTTCTGCTATGGCCAGGAAGTAGAGGACGGGGTGCCTGGGAGGTGAGCAGAGAGGGAAGTGCCACGTTGAAAAGGACCTAGGGAGACCCAGGAAGACACCAAAGAAAGAAGGGCAAGGGCTTGGAGTTCCTGAGTGTTTGGGGTCGATGCCTGTAGGGTTAGATGAGACCCAGCCAGACATGCGAAACTTTGATATCCACGACACAGCCCCAGTCAGTCTCTGGTCTACCCAGGAACTTCTCAGAGGCCCCGGACCTCTGCATATAGTTCTGGAATGCTGGTCCCATTCTGTTAGACTACTCCACTCCTTCCTCCCTGTTGAGAATGACATCAGCTCTGGCTGCCACCGTCCTCAGTCCTGCTGCTGATTTCTCTCCCAGGGGTGCAGCAAGGGTGTCACCCTTCACCCACCCATTCCTTCTTCAGTCAGAGAGGGAGCCAGAGCTCCCCCAGCCCAGGGCCCCGCAGCCCAAAGTGGGAGGAGGCTTCCTGGTCTTGGTTGGAAAAGAGGGGAGCATGGGCACCAGGAGAGAGAGAGAGAGAGAGAGAGAGAGAGAGAGAGAGAGAGAGAGAGAGAGAGAAAGAGAGGGAGGGAGAGGGAGGGAGAGGCCTGAAGGGGCACTTGAGGAGGAGACTGCCGCAGTAAATCACTCTGTGGGGGGCTCCCTCTGCCTGAGCTCAGTGGGGTGGGGAAAGAGAGACAGTGGGGTAGGGCAGCATGGGGAATCGCCACATCTGGCAGGCAGGTGTCTGGCACTGTTCAGACTGTAGTCTCTTTCCCAGCCAAAGGGGAAAAAGGGAGGAGGGCCTCCTAGAATCCCCTGGGGAAGGGGGAAAGGTTCACAAACAGGAGGGGGAGGCAAACCAGACAGTCCAAGCCCTGCTGTGTCTGTTTTAGTCAGTGCTAAGGATGGGTTTGCAGAGTCCCAAAAGAAAACTGTTGGCCAAAGGTCTGGGTAGGCAGGGCACCAACATTTCAGTTCTGCTGGGAAACAGAAGGCTGAAGAAACAAGGTCAGAGAATTCGGGATTTGAGAACTGAACAGAAAGAACTACATTCTCCATGCTGTCTCTGCTTGTCAGCCCTCAACTGCGCAATAATCCTGCTCTCCCGAGCCAAGGGCTATACAGGGCCATGAGAAGCAGGTTAGGGGCTAAAGCTGGGCATTGCTCCTCACAGATCAGACAGCCAAAGATAGAGGGCATCATAGCTCTTTTCCCACCAGTGCAGGGACCAGGCCGGGGTGGTCCAGTATACAGCTTTCTACATGCTTAGGGGGATCTTGGGCCCAGGTGCTTCACAGCTGCTAAGCCCAAGTTCCAGGTTTTCACAGAGAAAGGACTGTTCAAACCAGAGGCTTCATGCCCTGCAGAGGCTCTTCCCATTTTGCCTCCTTCCTCCTTCTCTTATCCTTGTCGGTCTAGGATTCGCAGGCCCATGTCGGAACAGCAGAGGTGACTGAGGAGACCCTTCAAATCTCAGTGGAAAGGAGGAGTCCCCACACTGCCCCCTCCTTAAAATCCTGCAGAGGAAGGGGGAAAGAAAACCAAAGCATTCTCCTGTCGCCGCAGCAACCATAAAACCCCCAGCTAAATCCATCTTGTGAGCTCACCGCCCCATTAAGATGCAGGGCCAGGCTCTACGCCAGCCCAGCCACATTCATTTGTGCGAATAAAGGTGGAGGAGGGGGAGGGGAGCAGGCTCTGGAGGGACGGGGAAATGGCGAGAAGAGGTTATTTACACCACCGTCCTGACCTTCTGGAGCAGCGCTGGCTCCGATAAATAACCCGCTCAGCGCCGTTTCGGAGGAATGGGAGGTGCGGGAAGGGAGCAGGGGCTGGAGGGGAGCCCCCTCCTCGAGCCCCCACGCAGGTGCGCGTCTCCGGGTTACTAATGGCTGAGGCGGGAGCAGGCAGCTGGCTTTGGGGGTGTGTGGGGGAGAACTCAGTTCCCTGAGTCTCCCACTGAGAAAATACCATCCCCACCCCAACCCTGGCGCCAATTTCCAGGCGAGGGGACCAAGAGATGCCAAGGAGGCAAACAGCCCCGTAAATTAGGGGTAGGGGGGAGTGCTGGGGAGTCTCTGAGGTAGGAAGGAAGAAATATTATAAGAAGAGGTGGGGCGGGGGGCTGGAGGAACAGGAATAGATGCCAAAAAAGGGAGGAACAGAACCATCACACAAAGGCAGTTTGGAAGATTCACTTTATTCCTCTGACGCACAGTAGCGTACAAGGTGGACTTCGTTGACTCCGTTTCTTGCAGAGGCCACCTCCAGAATGCCCACTTCAGTCAATGCAGGGGGCAGAACGCTTGCTCGGGAATGTTTTTCTAAGACATTTTTCACTGCGATGTGGGGTCAAGGGGCAACATGACACCCAAGAATGGGAATCCAAACCCTAGAGGAAAGGTACTGCACCAGACCCTCCGCTTCCAGGGAAGGCTGAGGCAGAGAGGGAGAGCTCAACAGCAGACTGCAGAACCAAGGCAGAGGAATGTGAGTGGAAGAGCTGAGACGGAACATGGCAAGGCCCGAGCCATTAAGGCCCTTTCCTTCCCCGGTTCTGTGTAGAAACTCTTCTGGACACTACAGTGGTTTTAGTTCCAAGGTCTGGCTTTGCTCCAGGGTACCAGAGGCCACACCAGGCAAAGATCTCACAGGTGATACAGGCAGAGAGGTGTGGTACAGACCTAGAGTAGGATGTTCTCGTGTGCAGGCACAGCAGCTTTGAGGCTGAAGGCCAGATCATGGCAGAGACTGCACTGCATAAGCTCCGACAGCATTTAAATCACTGTTCCTCTGCAGCTCTGTCCCCTTCCCATAAGCTACTCCCAATCTCTTCCAAGGCAGAGGACAGGGCAGCAGGAAGGGGAGAAGCCGCTGAGGCAAAGAAGTGCAGCCCCCCCACTCCACACCCATGTGCTGAAGGAAGGAGTCCTCCCCTGGGCTGGACGTATGGGCTGCGGGGATGAGGGCCTTTAAGGCACAGGGAGGAAAACACTCAGCATATTCTTTCTCCTGCTTTGATCTGAAGTACAGCCATAGAAAAGGGCCAAGAAACCAAGGAGAGAACGTGGGGGTGGGAGGACCAGTGCAGTAGGAAGAGGGTGTTTCCCCTGCCTCATTCAAATCTGCCTTTGAGAGGGAAGGAAGAGGGGGACGACCCCAGAAAGGATAGAGGTGCAAGGGTCCATTGTGATTCTCCACGATGACCCTAAGAGCATCTGTTGGGGGCCTGCATAAGAAGTCACAGCAGATGTGGGGTTTTGAGGGGCAAGGAACTGGGCATGGAATATCTTCACCGAAGGAGGGACCACTTGATCTGTTCTTTTGCTGACTGTAGCACCTGCAGAGACAAAGGCAGCACTGAGGAGGGTTTGCAAGCCACAGGGTGTGAGCAGGCTGAGGCTCTCCTTCCCCACACTTGCCTTCCCTCTCCTTAGAAGAACAGGGGATAGAAAATCCCAAGGGTGGAAGAATAGGAGGAAGCTCTCTAAAGCCCTAGAGGACTGTCAGTTTGGGAAATTCCCCCCGAATTCAAATCCACTGGGGGGATGAAGAGAGAAGAGGTATACCTGGGAGGAAAGAAAAAAAAAAGCTGGGGGTTATTGGACACAGTTATAAAGAGGGGATTTACACACCCGGATGGTGAGGATTCCTACTGGGCAAACCCAGAACCACTCCCTTGCAGGCCCCCAGGTCAGGTAGACAGTCCATCTGCAGTCAAGGTAGAAGGATGGATCTGCAAAGCCTGCACATTCCAGAATATGCAATTCCAGCTCAGCCCTCATTTGAATAATAAGAGAAAGAGGAGTGTGTGCTCACCGGCACACAGACCATCTGCTTAAGGCAAGCCTCTGCTGGGGAATAAATCACTGACTGAGGTATCTGGCAGGGAAGGTTTGAAGGGTACAGAGAGCAGCTGACAGTCATGATCTCAGTGAAAGGAGACGAGTGGGGCCGAGGACACTGTTCAATGAGTCTCAGTGCTCTGGAATATGAGGGAGCCAGGGAACCTCACTGAGTGTGAGGTCTCAATCCAGACTTGGCAGGTTGGGGGTTCCTGTTAGTCTCTGTAGTAACCCTGTCCATATGGAGAGGAGGAATGAAGAAAGTCATACCTGAGACACGGTCTGCTCTGTAAGGGGGACGTCTTCACCCTGTACACAGAGATAAGCACTTAGACTGCAGCCCGATAGAGGAATAAGTGTTCCTTTAAAATGAAGCAAAGGCAAATGCCCTAAACTTCTCAGCCTCTTCTTCCAAAGACTGAGCCACAATTTTACTTGGCCAGAGGGACTGTGAACACAAAAGGGTCATTTTATCCATCCTCCACTTAAAGGCAGGACAGTCGACTTCTTAAAAGATTTATTTCATTCCAAGTAATCAGCAGGATATCTGATCCTTACCTCCCTCAACTCTGGGGTGGGGGACCTGATTCCCTAGTCAGAGAAGACCTTCCCTGAATATCAATATGGGGAGGGGGGAATGGAGGGAGCCAGGGGTAGTTTAATGGATCCCGCAAGGCCTGATGGGTAACGATGGCATGTTAATTTGAAGAAATAAACTGCTGCAACAGCAGCCTGAGAAGGGGGAAGGGGGGGAGCCAGTGGGGGGGACCCTCTCTCTTGCCACATAGAGACATATGTTAGAGGAGAAGATTAAACTATGCAAATGGAGCCCACGGCAGTTAAGGGAGAAGACTTCCCATTACCCAGCACTGGCAGCCTTCACTCTGTGGAGGTCAGAGCTGGGACATTCTGGGAACTGGAAGCGCTGCTCTGTTCAGACAGCTTTGCACCATACAATTTACAGGTGGATTCTCTACACTCACTGCCATATCCCTGAGCAAACACAAAGCTTCCCACAAGTAACTCAAAGACCCCCTTCCTGGTGCCACTAGCACCAAGGAGGGTTGAGGTGCTGGCAAATAGGTACTTCCTGAGAGTTCCATCCGACTACGACAGGAAAGACACTCCAATGCCTCTGATGACTGGATCCATTTTCAAAGAAGCAACAAGCCAACCTCAAGTTCCTTTATAGTTTCAGAACCATGAAATTAAGGTTTCTTTTCTTCTTTGTTCATTCAATATGTTTACATTAAAGTGCCCATTCTGTGTAAAAACCATATAAAATTCTAGATGCCACATTAGAAACATAAACAAGTTCCTCTGCTTCTCTGGTACACTGAGATGGAAAGGCCAGGAGAAGGAGCCATGCATGTGAGAGGATAGGAGAAGATAGGATGTATTTATGAGCTGGACCCTCAGCTACACTCAGCAGGACTGGCTTGGGAGGACCTGTGGAGAAATGGGCGTTGCACATTCCTGCTTACCCTCAAAGCCACCCGGTGTACCACTTGCTGGGGGTCGCTCTCTAGGATCACCCTACAAATAGAAAGAAGATCATTGCTCCCTTGTCCTGTCCCAAAGGACCAACTTACTGTGAGGTCAGGATCACTGGCTGGTCAACCCACTTGACTTGGAACAGGGGAAGTAACCTCCCCTCCCCACTCCAAATCCAGACAGTGTAGAGAACTCACCCTCCATCTACAATTTCATCCACAGCCAAGAAGAGCCCCTCCATATTCTCCAGCAGAGCTCGCTTTTCTACATTTTTCCTGAATCCCCAAAAAAAGAGAAAAATCAGGTTGTGTGTGAAAGGGATCCTGGGCCACTGTCTGAATAGGAGATCCTAAGCTAGGCCAATAACTGTCCCACACTAAGAAGGGAGTAAGGTAAAGAGCCCTTGAGCTATAGCGATCAGAAAGTCAAGCAAGGGCTTTCAAATAGCCAACTTCTGATTCCTAGGCTGATTATCCAGAGTGTTGCTGCTAGAGAAGCTGCTTGTAAAATAAACAACAACAAAAAATACAGCTTACAATCTGGAGTTGGTGATGGTGGAAGGTGGGAGGGGTGGAAGGCAAATCCTATCTGCACTCAAGCTCTGACAAACTTCTGAAGTCTCTCTGCTTCTCCCCCCTCCCCCCAGGTCTGTTCAAGCCCTAAAACAAAGGCCAAGGAGAGGCTACAACAGTCTGGGGCTGCATCCACCAGCCACAGATCCAGTGGTTTGTGCATGTGGCCTGTCACATCCGTCAGTATGACTCTTTTCTCTAGATTACCCGAAATGAAGTCTATTCATTCACCTGGCTGGGAAATAAATCATCCCCCTTCCTGAGGAAACCTGAGCCTTTGGCCTGCTGGTTTGTGGGCTGAGAGTGCCTGCTGTTCTACTCCGGATGGATTTCTAAAATGCGTTCACTTAGGAGCTGCAGTGGGTAAAGTTCAGAGCCTTGAATGTTTTCAGAGAAAGTACCTTATGTTTTCCCTTGCTCATGTGCACGGGAACAGAGGACTACTGGGGAGGTAAAGAGAGCAAGAGCACAGTGGACCCATTCTATGTTCAGGGGAAGACTATAAAGGCTAGCAATGGAAATGGGTAATGCTTCCTCCATTCCCGAGGTAGGGATGTGTCACCTGGGACACTTCCCTTGTCGTTCCCCACCTTCAACTGCAGAGGACAAAGCCTAGGAAGGCACCTGGGGGCTCGGCACTGTCAATCACTGGACACGACAAGAGTAGACACAGACCGCCATGGTGCACGTTTTGTACTCTCAGCTACTCCGGAGGCTGAAGCAGGGGATTATACGCTCAAGGGCCGCCTGGGTTACAGAGTTCTAAAACAGCTTAGTAAGACCATGTCTTAAATTAAAGGGACTCTCCTTCGTCCCTTAGTAAGAGAATTATTCCATATGAGGACCATGCTCTCCACTACCCCCCTCAGTGAGTTACCCACAAATAGCAGCCCAGTTTCTTACACTGAACTAACTCCCTGGTGTGGCTCTGATTTCCCACAAATTCCTGGCCCAGAGGGATAAGTACTTTCTTTTCCAAATTTAAACGGAGAATGTCAGCTCACCTCAGCATCTGGCTCAAGGAGTCAAAGAGGCAATTCAGAACAGCCATAAGCATCAGCTGTTGAGAAAGGAGACAGAAGGTTCAAGGCCCTAAAACTGATAACCCAAAACAAAACCTCCACTTTATTCCTCAGCCAGTGCACAGGCTTTCACACATGCCCAGAGACGTAACATGAAGTACAAACACAACAGCAAGAGGACTCAGAGAAGTTAACTCTGCTAAACAATCCCACAAGTGGTTTCTTTTCTTTTCTTTCTTTCTTTTTTTCTGAGATAGGGTTTCTTTGTATAGTCTTGGCTGTCCTGGAACTAGCTCTGTAGACCAAGCTGGCCTCCAACTTACAGAGATCTGCCTGCCTGCTGGGATTAAAGATATGCTCTAGCACCGTCCAGCTAAGTGGAGGATTTTTTTTTTAAGGCTGACACAGTCCTCAATGTATCTTAGTCCTCTGAGTGTTTGCTTTTTATTAATTAAAGATTTATTTTTATTTGTGTGTGTATGTGCCACATGTGTACAGGTACCCAGAGGCCAGAAGAGGACACTGGATTCCCCTGGAGCAGGAGTTACAGAGGGTTGTGAGCTGCCCAACACGGATGCAGGGAACCAAACTCAAGCACACCGAGAGAACAGCAAGCGATCTCGCACCACGCAGTCTCTCCAGCTGTTGGGTTTTCGTCTTTTGTGTCTCACGTTGCTTAGGTTGGTCTTCAACTAGCTATATAACTGAGGATGATCCTGAACTCCTGACTATACTTCCCAAGTGCTGGGATAACAGGTGTGCACTGCCATGCCTTTCTGCCTCTATGTCTCTTTAAAACTTGGCTAATGTTGGCCAGGTGTTGGTGGCGCACGCCTTTAATCCCAGCACTCGGGAGGCAGAGGCAGGCGGATCTCTGTGAGTTCGAGGCCAGCCTGGGCTACCA